GGGGGGGAAAACGCATAAAAAAAAAAAAAAAAAAGATGGTCCGCCTACATGGCATGCCAGGCTGGAAATGGAAGCCCAATGCCAATAGCAGTTTGAGTCCCCGGCTCACCTGGCCTGAAAACACACCAGCTGTACGTGGCCGGAGTCCTGGTGGGCCGGAGGACTTGAGGATCAGGGCATGACCGAGCCTGTGGAGGGTGCGTGCCTGTCTCTCTTTGTCTCTTGCACGCACGCACTCTATCATAAATGAATAACACACACATAAATGGAGTTACAAAATCTAGCTGTTTAGGAGAGTGCCCCCGACAGAACCTGGGAGAACCCTGTGTTTGATCGTATGAACACACAGCTATCTTTTTTTTTTTTTAAGTTTTTGCTACAGGGTGCATGTGCTTGCCAGAGAGAGAGAGAGAGAGAGAGAGAGAGATCACCCTCAGGGGAATGGTCACGCTGCGTTCCCTTCCCCTCATTCTCCTCTTGGGATTTTGGGTGCATACACACGCACACACCCGGCAGGATTTTTCAAGCCGGCAGGATTTTTCAAGCCAGCAGGTCTGGACCTCGCACTGCAGGATCAGCCATGTGGGGCCTGTGACCTCTATGCCACCTGCTGACCTAGTTTCTGTGGAGTACAGACTGGAAAACTTCCCTTGGCTTCACCTGTTTACGCAGTGAGCCGCTGTCCTTCGGACATTGGCAGCCTTCCTTCCATTTCCCTGTGCCCGGTGAAGAAAAGCAGGGCCCCGTGTGGACGGTGTGCCCAGGTTCCTTGCAAGAGGACCCACACAATTCTCATCCTGTTCCATTCTCACTTCCACTTCAAACTGTCACTTCCAAACATCTCAAGAAAACTTTTACTTTAAAAACTATTTAAGCCATTGTTTGCAAAGTCCTGCTCCAGAGGAGTCTTCTGCCTGGGCCGTGCTGCGCTGCGTAGCAGAGCTGACAGGCTGCCTGGCCTCTTCCTAGCAGGCCGGTTCGCGCTCATCTGTATAAACACTTGCTGACCAGCAGTCTGTATTTACGAGGCCCTTGGAAAACACTGCAAGCTGCAGGGACTGACCATGAATAGCAAACTTAATTTGGTTTAATGTGCTTTGGCTTGCTTGACCTCACCAGAATAAAACTGTGCCTGCTTAAATTATTATATTGCAGGTTTAAAAAAAAAAATCCCAGAGACATTTATCTCATTGGGAGAATCTTGGGATCGTTTCGGCAAGGTTTAAGTCCGTGTTTAATGTCAGAAAGACTTGAAAAATATTTAACATCGGGCTTTAATCACAGATTAGGTTATTGTAAATTCTGAATTTTAAGTCTGAATTACTATTTTTTTTCTTTTGCTACTTTTTTCTTCTAGACAATTGGCGGGGCTGATGGCCATGCCGGAGGGGGTCAGCGCCTTCACCCAAGCGCTAGATATCAGCATGAACAACATTACTCAATTACCAGAATATGCATTTAAGAACTTTCCTTTCCTACAAGAACTACAATTGGCTGGCAACGACCTTTCTTTTATCCACCCAAAGGCCTTGTCTGGGTTGAAAGAACTCAAAGTTCTGTAAGTAATGCAATTTTAGAGTTTCACAGCTGGCTGTGTATTTTCTTTCTGCATAGTCAACATGCTTAGAACTAGGTTAAGCACCGTTTCTTTCAGTTCAGGATTAAAAGATTTAAGGAGTGGCCAGTGGATAGTGTGGGCGGCTGGAGGCTGATTTAGGCAACCCTGAGTCTAGATAACAAAAGTTAAAACTCAGAGTAATTGGTATTGTGACCTGCAGCGTGTTATAGTTGAATGTTAAGTTTTGTGTGTAATTAATCCATTGAATCAAAACCATATTTAAGCTTTACTGGGCAGGTTTTGTCTTTCCTTATTTTTTATAGCTATAGAAACTTTTAATTAGCTGACCCTAAAGGGAGAAACGCTTACAAGAGCTCCACGTGTTAAAATCAGCTTAGAGGTAAAGGGAATTGAGGTGCCTCTGACTGACACAGCCCGTGAGGGGTCAGGAAAGAATTCCTGGCTGTGCTCAGGAGCCCCGAGAGTGGCAGACTGGGAAGCAGGATCGATCTCCCCCACTGCTCCCACTGCTGCCATTACCTG